TTTTCCCATGTTCCCCTCACCCCGCAAACAAATCCTACCCTTTGTGTTTAATCCTGTCTTGGCATCTCTTTCTCAGAGGAGCTGTACTAACATAGTCTTTTATCGTTTCACTATTCTAGGCTTATAGACAGTGTTCCTTAGTGGACATTTTTAAATCACAGATTTTCATGGATAGAACTTGAATTTTTAGAATGTTTCCCCCCCAGGAACAGGGAGAAATTCAGGGAACTTCCTCAAATGCACTGTCAGGATTTTTCTTTTAATATCTTGTGTTTTAAGCTGGAATGCCTCTTTAGAAAACAAGGCCAAATCCTTTGCTGTAAACTGGTGACATAATAAAAAGAAAAGGCTAGATTTAGGAAAAGTAGGGTCCGTCCACCCATAAGAATTTGTATGATAACCACACACTTCATGGATCCTTAAACAAGGCAGAAAAAAATTTTTCATTATAAATCTTAAACACACCGAGGTTTTGTGGACACATGGTGCATGAATTAGCTCACGAAGTGACTGGGTTAATACGACACAGTTGGATCTATGCAATTATATAGCTATGGTTTTGGTTTTATTTCCCTAAGGCCTGGGGGATTTAGAGGCTAGGAACAAATTTTAAATAGATTAAGTGGTGTACGTGTTATGAGTGTGTGTGTGTGTGTGTGTGTGTAAAGTAGACCAGTTATGTATGCTTAACTTTCACAACAGTGCACATGTGTGGTTCAAGAATTGTCTCTTCTATGTACTCATTTTGAACACCATATCCCATCTAAAATCCAAAAAATAAAAATAAATAGAACTGTAATTTTCTTAAAGCTATTAAATTCATATGGAAAAATAACTGATGCATTGAAGATAGTTTTTTTTGAGACTCACTGGGAATTTGGCATTTTTAGGGGCTGTGAATATTTTTTTTAGTGCCATATGTCAAAAAAATACTCCCGAGGAAAAGCTCTTTGACATTGGTCTTGACAATGAATTTTTAGATATGACACCAAAAGCATGGGTAACAAAAGCAAAAATAAACACTAGAACTAGAACTATATCAAAATAAAAATCTTCTACACAGCAAAGAAAGCAATTGACAGAATGAAAAAGCAACCTACAGAATGGGAGAAAGTATTTGCAAGCCATATATCTGATACGGGGTTAATTTCAAAAATATATAAGGAATTCATCATACAATTCAATAGAAACACACACACACACACACACACACACACACACACACACACAAATAACCTGATTTAAAAATAGGGAATGGACCTGAATATTTTTCTAATAAAGACAAAAATGGCCAAGAGGTATGTGAAAAAGTGCTCAACATCATTAATCATCAGAAAAATGCAAATCAAATTCACAATGAGATAACACCTCAAATCTGTTAGGAGGGGACTATTATTTAAAAAACAAAAGATAACAAGTGTTTGGTGAGGATATGGGAAAAAGGGAACCCTGGTACAGTGTTGGTGGGAATATAAATTGGTACAGCCTTTATGGGAAAATAATATGGAGGCTTCTCAAAACATAAAAAAAAACCTACCAAATAATCCAGCAATCCCACTTCTGAGTATACACCCAAAGGAGATAAAATGAGTATCTCAAAGAGATACCGGCACTGCTATGTGCAGCATTAATCATAATAACTAAGATCTGGGAACAAACTAATTTCCATTGATAGATGAATGGAAAAAGAAAATGCGGTATATACAAACAATGGAATATTATTCAGCCTTAAATAGAAGGACAATATGCCATGTGTGACAACATTGATGGACCTGGATGACATTGTGCTAATTGAAATCAGACACAGAAAGATAAATACTGTATGATCTTACCTATATATGGAATCTAAAGTAGTCAAACTCATAGGAGCAGAAGGCAGAATGTTGGTTACCAGGGGCCAGAAGAAAAATAAAATGGGGAGATGCCAGTCAAATTTCAGTTTTGCAAGACCAGTAAGTTCCGGAGATCTAATGCAAAGCATGGTGACTCTAGGTAACAATATCGTACTGTGTACTTGAAATTTACAAAGAAGGCTAATACTAAGTGCTGTCACTACCAAAAGAAAAAAAAACAACAACAATGTATGAAGTGATGGATATGTTAACTAGCTTTATTGTGCAGGTTATTGCACAATGTACAGGGTGGGGCAAAATAGCTTTACAGTTGTGAGTAGTGCAGTTTATTCTTGTATTATTATTTACTAGGGGCCCAGTGCATGAATTTGTGCACCTTGAAAGGTACTGTGGGCCGCGAGGCTACAGTGGGCACAGGGGCCGGTCTCAGCGCATCCTCTGCACCCCCGCCCAGCCCCTCCCATCACAGCCCCCAATCCCCTGTCTGCTGGCAGCCCCACTCCCATGGCCGCTGCTTCCACACGCTGATGGCACAGCCCTGCTTACACCCGCTGACAGCACAGAGCAATTGAGGCCAGTACCAGCAGCAGGTGCGAGCAACAGCTCCAGCATTGGCAGCAGGTGCAAACAGGGCCAGCTCTGGCAGCAGGTGCAAGCGCTGGGTGGGACGTAGTGTGCAGGAGCAAAGAATTTTCAGTAACTACCAGAGGTTCACCCCAATGACAGCAACCGGCACCCCACCTTGGTCTGGCACCCCCACTCACTTGCTTTACCATCCCGCCATGGCCGACGCCTGCCATATTCCACATGTGCCATGTGGTGGTCAGTGCACGTCATAGCAACTGGTTGTTCGGTTGTTCTGCCATTTGGTCTATTTGCATATTAGCCTTTTATTATATAGGATATATAGGATGAGCTTATTTATTTTTCATATGAACAACTGTAAACCTACTTTTACCTCATCTGCATATGTATATCAAATCACCAAGTTGTACATTTTATATATATATAATAAAAAAATTACCCTTGGAGTCAAATTTGCTTGGGTCAAGAGAGAAGTGAGGTAAAAAGATACATAATTTCTAAACAAGTAAATTACCCAAAAGTCATTTGATTTTCCCGTGGGCATATGAATCTAAGCAATGCTGTGTGTCAGTGCTCAGGCACCTACATACCTGAGAAATACCTGGCTGAGCAGCCATCAGCCTGAAAGCGAAAATAAGACATTTGGGGAGTCTAGCTATCTGAATCTGTGCCAGTAACCTGCATCTGCCGCACACTCTTGCTAGCCCATGATTAACTCCATTCTTATCTCTGATGCCTGTCCTGCCTTGTAGAACCTGTTTCCCAGAATACTACCCCTTTACAGAGGCCATAAACCATGAACCATATACAACCCCTGAGGGGGTTGGCAGCACTGGCACCAGGTAGGCCAAGACTCTGAGTGTAGTCTCACTTCCCCCATCCCAACTCACGGGGGCTGCAAAGCCTGCAAAAAGTCTGTCTGGAAACCTGACCCATATTTGGGGGACAAAGAAACTAAGGGTATAAAGGGAAAGCTTTGTCCATATTCATCACTCAGGATTTGGAGACTGACTCCTTGAGTCACAGCACTAGAGCATCTGCAATAAAGGCTACTTTTCTGAATACCTTCTGAGTGCCCGGCTGATTAATCCCCCACACCGCCTGGCAGCTTATCTGCCACAAGCCCACTCTGGTTGTCCTATGGGCACAACTGATCTGCTATATGATCTAGTAAATCAAGCTTCAGACAACTGGCTATTCATCAAGATTGCCAGGAAGAAGAAAAACAAATCAATTGGCAAATGGTTAATCTATTGTTTCTCTATAGAATGAACTTAATTGGAAAGATAGAAAACATTTTTTAAAAAAGGTATTTGAACTGCCAATATGAGTCTTTCTTTGCACCACACCAGAACAGTTGGCATACACGCTTTTCTCAGAAAGAGGGGGGTGCCTCTTTAGTCAGAACTCAATTTTGCATTTCCTTGATTTGCAGATGAAAAGAATTCCAATTCCCTATTTATTTGTAATACCTGGCTTGTGAATCTCTAGCTGGCTCAAGCAGTTCTGATGAAATGCAGGACAATGACACCTTGAAAAGTGGTGACACTGTATCCACTTGAAAAGTAATTGCTCCTGGCTTCACGCACAGTGACTTCAAGATGGAAAATACATTCAGAATAGCAAATGCCAAGAATGCTTCTAATCCAACTGAGTCCCTTCCTTATCATTTTAGGGAAGCAGGTGGGATAAAAATAATGCCAAAAAGCATGATTTATCATATCAAAATATAGTGCATGATAAGTATTCTATTTTTTCTTTTCTCTCATTCTCTCATTCTCTGTCTCGACTTTTATAACACTTTTCGTATATATAGAGCTTCCACCCGAAACTATTAACTGAATTCATTTTTTCAAAAGACTAACTAGACTTTTGAAATGTAAAGTTCTGTAGCCATTTTTTTGTTTTAAATTTAATTAAATTAATTTTGATAAGTTGCAAGTAGTGCTGACCCAATTGGATGCATTTATTTTTTTAATATGTAATGTTCATGCATACAAAGAATACAGGTAAAACATACAGCACAACACTAACAACTCATTAAACTTCTCCCATTTTATTTAAGCTATTATTATTATTGATGCAATCACTGTATTCTCATTCTCTGTCTTTCCTCAACCATTGGAATAACTATTATTCTAAATCTTGTTTTTATAACTCTTTGCTATATCATGATCAGCTTGTCTCCTAAGTATACAGTCCTAAACAATGCATTATTTAGTTCTGATTTTATTAAAAGTGTATTATATTGTACATAGTTTTTGTGGCACTGGCTTTCTTCACTCAATAGTATTCTTATTTTTAATTCATCCCTTTGTTATAAGAAGTAGACCTTACTTATTTTCACAACTGACTAATTTTCTATTGTATGAATATATAATAATTCATTGTGCTGTAACTTGATTGACAAATGATGTACTATGTCACAACTATCTTCTTAGAATCTGTGGCATGTCTTTATTTTCCCTATGATATTTTTTATAAAAGGTTATTAATTTTAATTTTGTCAAATATATATTTTTATTTAGCACTTTTTGACTTATTTAAGATAGCTTTCCTTGTGTTTGCTTCGGCAGTGCATATACTAAAATTGGAATGATACAGACAAGTTTAGCATGGCCCCTGCACAAGGATGACATCCAAATTTGTGAAGTGTTCCATATTTTTTAACAATAACAACAAATAGCCTTCCTTCTCCAAAGATATATATTCTTCCAAATATTTTACTTTGTCTTTGAAAATTAATTCTTCAGTCTACCAGAAATATATTTTTGTGGAGACTATTTTGGTTTACAAGTTTAGTCTCCTGTTTTAAATTTTTTTTATCATTATACAAAGACCCTTTCTATCCCTAACTTTATTTTTTATCTTAAAGTCTTTTTTGATTTATTTAATATAATTATGCCAGATTTCACTTGGTTCATACTTGCCATATATTTTTCCCATGTTTTTATACTCAAATTTTCAATGCTCATATGTTTTGGGTGTATCTCTTACAAAAATCATGCACGTGGATTTGTTTTCACACAATCTGATTATATTTCAATGATTGGAAATAAACAGTGAAATTTAACCTTCCAGTTAAGAACTCTTTTTTTTTCATACAACTTAAGGTAATGAAGGTGCTATCTTATAAAAATAACAGACTGGATTCTGTCACACAATTGACTATTACCATAAAGATGAATCAGCAGCTTTAAAATAAGTTATTTTTTTCTCCAATATTATTCTTTTAGAACAATTTGCGTGAACACAGACCTAAATATATACTGTTTCTTAAATCATCTCAATTTTTATGAAGAAAAATTCTCCAAAGGGAAACAAAAATGTCTCTATCAAACCTTACTAGTATAATAGAGCATTTAACAATATGTCCAGTTAGGGACTGATCTAAGCTGAGTGAATACCTAATTACTTACTTAATCTTATTTACTTTTATCACATTTAGCAACTTAGCAAGAAAATGGTGAGTAGTGACTAGAGAGGGTTTTGGGAAATGTCCCCCTCTCTCTCCTCCCTGGCCAGGAAAGTATTTTCTCCTATTAGAAAGATTATTCAAGACACAATTATGGTTCTGAAGGTCTGGGCTGATGGAGGAAAGAGATTATTCACAGGGAAACAAAGCCTTTATGATTGTAGGCTGTAAAAGAAGTCTTCTGGTCTTGGTTGGACTCACACAGAAATGCATATCACTGGCTATTGGCTGATTTAAGATGGGCTGATGGGCTTGGCTGGGTTAACTTGGCTCTAAGCTATTTGTCCTTCATCCTCCAGCAGGCATGCTAGGTATGTTCCCTTACTTAGACATTGCAAATAGCAACAGAAGCAAGCGCAATAGGCAAGCACTCTCTAAGCCTCTTCTTGCATCACACTTGCTAATATCCCACTGGCCAAAATAAATTATGTAACCTAATTGAGCTCAGAGTCAGACTCAGAAGGTACTATAATGCTACAGGGAAGGGTGTGAGGACACTGGTAGGGGCCAAGTAGTGGGACCATTAATGTCATTAGTCTACCACAGAGACCAATTTCCTTCTCTGAGAAATACAGAACACGAGCAAAACAACCAGCCTTTTTTTTGGCAGGGAATCATTGTCCCCAGGGAAGGCAAGTTTCAGCTGAGCCATGACCTATTCAAGGACAAGCTTATCCTTTAGCCCGGGCACTTCACCAATCCTGGCTTGTTTGACTAGCTGGAGCATCTAGTTGCCTTGAGTCAATTTTTACAAGGAGAAAGCAGCAACCGAAAAGCAGCACAGTCCTTGGTTTAACTTCGCATCTATGACAGGAAGCAAGATGAGGAAGTGACAGTGCCCATAAAAGCATGGTATATTTCTTCTCAAGGGAAGAGAGAGCTTTTGGGAAAAAGATAAGTCCCTTGTAACTGCTGTTAGGGAAATGTTGATCCTTGATTTGCATAAATTGTGAGCATCCTCTTTGAGTTTCATAAAAATTGCAAATTGAGAAGTGTAGAAACATTGATAGGAAACAGCTAGATTTCTGAGGCACAACCACAAAGTATTAAAGAGCCTTGATTTGGGATAATGAAATATATTCATGATTTTCATATTTGATATTTTTGGTATATTCCCTGTGTGTGTGTGTGTGTGTGTGTGCTCAAGTGCATGTGTGATAGTCACACTACAAATCTGATATGTAATTTTAGTTTATTTGGGTTGGTTCCACAGTGTTATTTTAATGCATGTTTTTGCATTCATTGCTAGCAAACAGGGCAATAAATCTTAGGAGATTCAGACCTAATCTGTGTTGCCATACCAGAATGAAAAGCTAAAATTTCTGCACATATTTTAAGCTGCTTCCTTCCTTAATGCATTGTGTCAAGTTCTTAGCAGTTTCTCCCAAAGAAGATAGGCTTTCAATGTGCATGTCGGCTTGGGGGAAATCTTGCTCCTATGTATTAACTGCTGACTTCTTTAATCCTGTTAGAATTTAATTTCCCTTGATTGAATGCGGTGTTATCACCAGGTGCTGAGTGGCCCTTTCCTATCTGTGCATATAAATCCTGTTAGTCCTTCCCAGACTGGGGATGTGCCAGAACCTTCTGAGGTCAGCCTCTTCTGAAGGAGCGTTTGTGCTCAGCTTCATTGGATACAGAGAGTGAAAGTCAAACTTTTGGACACAGATGTCTTGTTTATTTGCATCTGAGTTCTGGGACTGAGGCGTCTCTGTGGATGACCTGTGAGAGTCCCAGCAGTTTCCAATGACGTCTGCATTAATGAGTTCAAGGGCTTAAAAAAGCCTTAAATTAAATTGGAAGGTGTTCACTGATTAGCAAGGTACTGACCCATAAAAATCTCCATTATTCCCAGTTCTTCCACTTATACAAAACAAAGCATTTCCTTTTCATGTGTGACCTGCTTTAACTGCTTGTCCCAAGAAACTCTTCTGAGCGATTGCTGGGATTTGTCATGAAATGGATTCTTAGTGATCCCAGTGTCTTTGCTTCCCGGTGTGAGGTTCTTCCTGCTCCCAGCTTCCTCTTTCTGCATCTTCTCTGTTTTCCATTTTCTGCTAATTACCTTCCTTTACCAAACAACAACAACAAAAAAAGCCAATTCTATGCACAGTCAGTTTTGCTACTTGTTAGCACCTGTAATTATTTTTCTAAAATTTTGATGTAAGAAGAAATTATTGGATAAATTGAGGTGTTTGTGGCTTCTGTGGATTTCAGACATTAATTAAAATAAAATAATTGTTTATTATTAATAATCAAGATTGGTGAGTATACTGATAATTTTTTTTTACTTTAACTATTTCAGTGGCATTGATCTGGTCACCAAAGGTGGCCTGAATGTTCCGCAGGATACTGTGATATGAAGGTAATTCAAATAAAGTGCTAGTCTTCAAAGCCATCAGAATTTACAGTCAGAATTTTTTTCAAGGATCTCAAAGTCCAAAGCAATCAGGTCAGCTTTACAAAAGAATTGGTCCAGGTAGCAATGAAGGCCAGATCTAAAAAAGGGGAAAAACAGATTTATTAAGCATATGTTTCCATGTAGGAATGTTGATCTACTCCATTCAGGACTTCTGATTTTTCAAAAGGAACTGGGATTTTGGGTTTTTATGCAATATCTTGTAATTTATAAATGTTAGCAAACATTTCAATTAAAGAGCAATCTGGAGTCATGAACCAGGGAATCTGTCTGTTATACCCTTTTGCAAAGAAGAGCTGCAGATCCAATAATCACTGGCAGCTGATGAGACATTTGTTACTGCTTTCTGAAAGATCATTGACAACTCCTCAGGTCGATAGCCTATACATATACCATAGTCCATGTATTGTACTAGAGGTGTTTCTCATTACTTGACCAGAAAGCTAATATTTTACATCTGACTTAAATAAAATATGCTAGATCAGTGGATACAGAGAGCTCTAGCCAGCTGGTTAGAGAGATGGGCATGGAAGCCATGCTGAGCGCCAAACAGGATTACAGAGATAGTGGGCAGAACAAAGAAGAGACGGAGAAATATGGGCCCAGGGAGAGGGAGACTCTCAAGTTCCAATTGTTTTCTAGTTCTTGGATTATTTTCCACTGTAGCTAGGGTATATTTCCTCCACAAAGGTTTTATTGTGTTTTTCATATTATTGCATAACCTGCCCCCTTTTACACAATAAGGATATGGGGGGAAATATACATGGAAATTATTAACTCAAAGAAGTCTAGTATAATTACATTAAAATGAGTCAAAAAAAACAACAACTTTAAGACAAAACCAAGGTTAAGATTAGAGAAAATCATTGAATAATGATTTAAAGATTTAAAACATGAAAATATAAAATTCTAACTACTAAATTCTAAATTAAAATACAAATCAAAGCTGAAGTCTTTTCTTGGTCCAGATGACAGAGGATCACATTTAGCTCACAAGGGAAAAGTGGGTGATTCGAATTCAGAGGCTCACCTTTATTTCCCCATTTTGTTATAAACATTCATTATGATGCGATTGGTACTTCAACAGTTTAATTAATAAATCAGTCCTAATTGGCCTGTTTAATATACTGAACTCATCAACATCTTAATCAATACTATTTTAAGTATACATAAAACATTTACCAAGATGGATCATATGCTATCAAACAAATCTAACCAAATTTATGGTATTAAAATCACACATACTCAGAGTAGAGTTCAGCTGAAACTTAATAAAAACAAATAAAATTTAGGAGATTCTTTTATGTATGGAAATTAAATAACAGACTCCTAAGTTAGCAATGGGTAAATGAAAAACGGGTAATATGAGAAAATGAATAGTAATAAAAGTAAAAAATAATTAAAACTTGAGGAATATAGCTCAATCTGTGCTTAGATGGAACTTTGCAATCATATTGTACACAGGAGAGAAGAAACCTGAAAATGGATTATCTAAACATCAATGTTGAGAAGTTAGAAAAGAATGGGAGATTAACCTCAGAAAAAGAAGGAAGCAATGAAAATTATGGAATAAATTAATGAAATGAAAAGTAAATTTAAAATAGAGGATCAACCCAAGTCAGAAGTTTTGTTTTATTTTGTTTTGTTTGAAAAGGACATGAAGTTGATAAAACCTTGATAAGATAGATAAAAAAACTAAGATGCACCAACCACCAAAATACAGAATGAAGACTGGGAAACCACTATAAGTAAAAGATAATAGAAGAATAGTAT